AGCTTTCAACAGCTGGTTGCCAGTCCCCAAAGGCAGTTTTTAGAGGGTATCACTTAGGTTCCCCCTTGTAGGTAGTGAGTCCCTCATAACCACGATGGACCGGCCATCGTGGTATGCGTAATGCATTTTCTGCCTCCCTTCGGGGTAGCCCTTTTCCAATTGCTTCGGGCGCAAAAAAAAAAAAAAAAAAAAAAAAAAAACGACGATTTCGTACCGCCGCCTCTATTACAAGAAGACACTTCACTGTTCTCCCATTTCTACTCCGCAACTTTCCAACATGGAAGCCACGGTATGCAGGCTAGCTATGACTGGACATCAGTCCATTCTCATAGCCTCCTGTTACATCCCTTCAAAAACCCTTCCCCTCAAAAAAGATTTTGAGGCTATTTTATCTCTAGGCAATTCAGTCATTATGTTTGGAGATTTTAACTCCTAGCATACTGAATGGACATGCCGTACTACCACCCGTAGTGGCAAGTTACTGCTCGATATCACGCAGTCTCTTGATATTACCGTCCACAGTCCTCTCGGTGTTACTCACTTTCCCGATAACACCGACTATGCCCCCGATGTACTAGATTTTGCGTTACTCAAAGGAGTTTCTCTCAACCTTAGGGCAATCGAGACACTAGACGATCTAGGATCCGACCACCGACCGGTCTCTCTCATTCTTGGCCATTAGCCACCACTCCCAACACCCTCTACTAAAACCTTCACAAATTGGAAGGGCTTCAAGGAGTCCCTAGCGAAAGCTCTGGACTCACAGGACTCCCCCATCTCCCTATCTTCGGACTTAGACAGTCCTGAAAAAATCGACACCGCGGTCGATTCACTCTCCACCCTTATTAAAACCTCCCTTAAGGAGAATGAAAGGGTCGTCCCGGTTGCTAATAATAGTGGGCTTCCCCTGCATATTAGCAACCTATTAAAAGCCAAAAAAGCTGCTTTCCGGAGAGCAGCAAAATATCCCACGCCCGAATATAGGCGCACGGCCAATCGTCTTCAACGAGAACTCCGTTTCCGCCTCTCTGAATTTCGAGACCTCGAAAAGAGTAAGCTCATGGAGAATATCTCTCCCTCTCATACAGCGTACTATCAGATGGCAAGAGCCCTCCGCATAGACGCTATCTTCCACACTCCCCCTCTCTCTCGTCCCGACGGTACGGTAGCCTTCGAGGACGAGGAAAAGGCTGAGTGCTTTGCAGACAGCATTGCCGCTCAATGCTCTCCTAGCTCTCAACCCGTAGACCCCTCACACGTCCAGGCAGTGGAGGATGAGGTCCGCCGCCGGAACTCGCCCCCTACAGCCTCCGAACCTATCTCTGTGTCCAATGATGAGCTTTCATCCCTCATCAAAGGACTTAAGCCTAAAAAGGCTCCGGGCGCGGATGGCATCTCCAACCAAGCCCTAAAAAACTTTCCTGAGCAGGTGCTAACCCTTTTATCTATTATCTTCAATGCCTGCTTCAACCTTAGTTACTTTCCCACTACGTGGAAAGAGGCAACTGTGATTGGTATTCCCAAGCCAGGCAAGCCTCTTAATCTCCCCTCCAGTCATCGTCCCATTAGCCTCCTCAAGGCCATGGGCAAGCTCTTTGAAAGAGTCATTCAAAATCGCATGAGGCGCCATCTGTTTCCCACAGACGGTGACCCTCTTATCATTCCCCATCAATTCGGTTTCCGAGCGAAACACTCCTGCCCCCAACAAGTTCACCGTATTGTGGAATATATCCTCAGCGGTTTTTATCCCCGTCGTCATAAGACTATCGCGGTCTTTTTCGACATCGCCAAAGCCTTCGATAGAGTCTGGCATACAGGCCTTATCTACAAACTATACAAAATAGGTCTCCCCGATCGTCTAGTACGTCTCGTGGCCTCTTATCTTAATCATCGTACCTTTCGTTTTAGACACGAAGGCACGCTATCTTCACAGCGCCCCATCAAAGCTGGTGTCCCTCAGGGCTCAGTTCTTGCTCCTCTGCTGTACATACTGTTCACCAACGACATTCCCATTCCGCCGAAAGGTGTTCAGCTCTCCCTCTTCGCAGACGACACTGCTCTCTACTGCAAAGGTATCTCGCTACCTTTCATACGGAACAAGGTCCAAAAGTCAGTTGATGACCTAGGAGCTTGGTTCAAAAAATGGCGCATCGATGTGAACCCGGAGAAGAGCTCCGCCGTTCACTTCGATTATAAACGACGCCGTCTCAAAAACACTCCACCAATACGTATGCTAGGGACCCCTGTCCCCTGGCATACGTCTGCCAAATATTTAGGTGTCACTCTAGACACATGGCTAACTTTCAGGCCCCACGTCAAAAGAGTAACCCGTCACGCACGTTTTTACCTGAATAGGCTCAACAGTATGTTGGGCCGACACAGTAAAATGTCCCTCAGAAACAAGCGTACCCTTTATAAGGTCTGTATACGACCAGTCATGTCCTACGCGGGCCCCATTTTCGCCCACTCTAACCCTAAAATTATTAATGAACTCCAAGTAGTTCAAAACCTTTTCTGTCGTCGAGCTGCGAACGCACCTTGGTACGTCCGCAATGCCGACCTTCATCGGGACCTAGAGCTCCCTACAATTCAACAATTCCTTAAAAAACTCTCTGAGAACTTCTTCAAAGCCTCAGAGTCGCATTCCAATCATTTTATTCGTGAGGCTGCTAATTATGCAGCCCCACTCCCCTCCCGCTATAGCGTCCGCAGGCCGAGGAACTCCCTCTCGGACCCGCCTAATAAACTTTCAAACGACCTGAACTGCCTCCTGGCGGCTCAGGCCAACTCTAATTAAGTTATTCATAATTAATTTGCCTTCCCAGGCACTCCCTCAGCGGCTTATAGCCGCCTGCGCCCTCTTTTCCCAAAAGAGGGTCGCTTTACGATACGGCATGTGAAGCTTTCAACAGCTGGTTGCCAGTCCCCAAAGGCAGTTTTTAGAGGGTATCACTTAGGTTCCCCCTTGTAGGTAGTGAGTCCCTCATAACCACGATGGACCGGCCATCGTGGTATGCGTAATGCATTTTCTGCCTCCCTTCGGGGTAGCCCTTTTCCAATTGCTTCGGGCGCAAAAAAAAAAAAAAAAAAAACGACGATTTCAGTATCCCGCGCGTTGAGAACGTATAGTCGTATAGTGAATATATTGTGTATTAGTTGAGTTAGTGTAACGTAACAATGGCACGTACTAAGCAGACCGTTCGGAAATCCACCGGTGGTAAAGCGCCGCGTAAACAACTGGCCACCAAAGCAGCCCGTAAGAGCGCACCAGCAACCGGCGGTGTTAAGAAACCACATCGCTACAGGCCCGGTACCGTCGCTCTCCGTGAGATTCGTCGCTACCAGAAGAGCACCGAGCTCCTCATCCGCAAATTGCCGTTCCAACGTTTGGTGCGTGAAATCGCTCAGGATTTCAAGACCGACCTCCGCTTCCAGAGCTCCGCCGTGATGGCCCTTCAAGAGGCTAGCGAAGCTTACCTAGTCGGGTTGTTCGAAGATACCAACTTATGCGCGATTCATGCAAAACGCGTAACCATTATGCCGAAAGACATACAGTTGGCGCGCAGAATTCGCGGGGAACGAGCTTAATAAACTCTACTCTACCGATTGTGTTGTGAACTACGTTTAATTTTTAACATCAATCATCGATTGGCAGTGTGAAAGTGGCAATATTAAATATGCCTCATTAACAACAACTACACGTTGACAAGATGATGATGATTGTGTTGGTTTTAACGTATGTTCTCTTTCACTTTCATAAAAGGCCCTTTTCAGGGCCGCATATGTTTCTACACAATAAACTGTGCGTTTCTTTAGAATATAAGAGAACGTTAAACGAGCAAGTAATAGATAGATAGATATATAGATAGATAGTATGGTATGGTAATATTATGAGATAACAACAAAAACATAATATCGAATTAAGGGCTCAGCAAATCGAAATGTTTATTTAGATACCGTTTAAATAAATTAATAGATAGATGTACTAATCTAGTATAATAGACGACAAACTGTATACTATTTAACATCATAAGATACACAGTAGGGTAAAGCTTACCTGTCTCACGACGGATGATCATTCATCACCATCATCGACGATCGGCGCCGACGATGCCTGCGCCGCCGCTGCCCGCGAAGTCTACCACCACCAATGTTCACGCGCAGAACGCTTCTGTTAGTTAGGATACAGTTTTTTTTTTTTTTTTTAATAAATAAAAATCTTCGTCTTCATAATAATATAAATTATAATATCTTACTTTGGATAATCATATTAAATGAAGTGATACAAAATAGAAAACGACATGTTTCGACAATAATATTATCTGTACTTTATATACACCTCGTTCACCCCGCGACATTATTTCATGGCGGGCTTTGAGTATTAAAATTAATGGGGGATTAACTAATTTTTTTTTTTTTTTTTTTTTTTTAATAGTATGCGGATTGACCTCAGGATTCATTGGATGGAGAGTCTAGCCATTGGCGCAGGACAAAATCGTATTACCTTATACGTAGTAACTAATTAGATACCTTTCTATATTCTAATATATAAATATTTTTTTTTTGTTTGTTCGTATATAATGCGCTACCATACCGTTCATCAGATTGCGCTAAAACTTAGTCAACTTATTGCTAACTAATAAACTTACAATAGATGGCGCGCGTATCGAACTGACAAATTTATTTATTATTATATAGAAACTACCTCTTCCAATTTTAAACGATATTTCGACAAATTTTTTTTTTTCCGGGTACCATCTACAGCAACACGAAACATCCAATTCCCCCCCCCCCACCCCCCCCCCCCCCCGCCATCGTCTTTTTATTTGCCCGCCATTTTATACTTCCCCGCACCCTCGCCTCAGCCGTCTCAGTCGTCTGGGTGACTTTATATAAACGGGAAAAAAGTTAGTGCGGTCTATCTGTCGTCGTGCGTTCGTAACGTACGTTAAGTCTCTATATATATTATTTCGTGTGTTGTCTTTCTTCTCTAAGCGAAAATGACCGGTCGCGGTAAAGGTGGTAAAGGTTTGGGGAAAGGTGGAGCGAAGCGGCACAGAAAAGTTCTTCGTGATAACATCCAGGGTATCACCAAACCGGCTATCAGACGTCTCGCACGCAGGGGCGGTGTGAAACGTATCTCCGGGTTAATCTACGAAGAGACACGCGGTGTACTCAAGGTGTTCCTTGAGAACGTGATTCGTGACGCTGTTACATACACCGAGCATGCGAAGAGGAAAACCGTCACCGCCATGGATGTCGTCTACGCCCTGAAACGTCAAGGACGTACCCTCTACGGATTCGGTGGTTAATTTCTTATACGCGATGGAGACGTCGTCCACCGCCACGTACTACGGCTCTCTGTCCGCTCTAAGTTCGTCTATAGTACACCATGTGCGCAGTGTGTATTTGCTACTTGGTATGCGGGACTCTGAGAGTTAAGTTACGTGATGAGACGATTTTTCTAATCGTATAAGTTAATAAAAAAAAAAGGCCCTTTTCAGGGCCGCAAAACTATCGATATACCTTGTATTTGTTTCGTAGAGTATCGTCAAATGATATGTGCAAGCATGTATTTTGTTGTATGGATATGTGTATAAATGGCATGATTATGTATATAAGTGCGAATGTATGTGTGTTTATGATCATGTATGTAAGTGCATATTAGAATTAGATGTGTCTGTCTACAAAGTTATGTTATTTAAAAGCTGTAAAGGCATCACATAATATTTATATATACCAATTAAACGCGGAGAACAAAATTAGGTTTATTTTTTTTTTTTTTATTCGAAATAATTTCGAAAAACTGATCTGAATGAAAGAAACGACAATTCATGTATGCACACACACGTTTAAATGACTATACTCTTCTTAAATTTGACGATACCTACTAAACAAGTGTAAGATATCGCCATATTGAAATAATGGTTCGAACGTCTTAGGAATATATTATCATAATTCCGAATTGTATTTTTTTTTTTCTCTTATTTATCTCCCTTATTATTTAATATATACATAATAATATGATATACTATATTTTAATAATATCACACTTCATTTTTTTTTTTTAAATACTTAACGCTTTATAAACATACGTTGCTCTGAAGCGTGACTGCCCAGCCCAGCTTTTGTACGTATTTTGAAGAAGTATGGGAACGTGTTGCAACATTCTAGAAATAATGATGATTTATAATAATTATTTCAGATTACAGTGGACAAATTTTAAAATATTATAGACTATTTTCAAAGATCCTACGCTTTGTATAGGGACTTCGGTCTGTGAGCCTCGAGACCTCTTCGTGTTTTACGACCTTCGACGTATAATAGGTCGTTGCATTACGAATAATGCATTACCGGCGTGACCTCTGCCTTCTGTCTAACCTCAGGATATTAACTTTCAATAGACCGATTTAAATTTAACTAAACTAATGAGCAAATAGAGAAAAATCATTTTAAAAGGCGGCTCATGGTACGCTCAGAATATAGTGAACAAAATAAACATCCATTGCTCGTTTCTCGATCGCTTATATACGTAACGGGTTTGTCTGTTACGTGCACAATCTCAAATATATACCGTATTAACTTTCTGAATACGATAATATTTATATATCACGGTAAAAATTAAATTTTATTCGAGACGTTCTAGTGAAAAGTTAGAAGTGTTCGTACGAGAAAACGTCTCGCAGCACCGCGGTTCTCCTTACGGTTAAGCTTTGGTTGGGGGGGTAAGGTGTGCGATAGTGTCGCCACCAGTTCGTCGCGGGCCGTGCTACAGTGCGGACGTGTCTAGTGCGCTCCTGTGTTGTGTACGTGTTGTGCTAGTGATTGACTCCGCCGACGTCGAGTTCGCTCCGTTTGGCGTCGAGGCGTCGCTGGCGCATCTCCTGCGTCGAGCTGTTAATAAGGTAAGCGTAAAGGACACTACTTACGCTGTGCCCTACTTTACGTTTTACCTTTTTGTACACTGTACCCTCTTTTTATAACAAAAAGTGATTACAAGTGTTCCGCATTTGAGTGAGATTACGCCCATCCCATCTGCGCCTCACACACCCCTCCCTGCTCGCGGGCGCCTCGCTGGGCCTCCCTCACGGGTCTCACCCGGTGTGGTTGCACGCGCTGAGGGGAGTAAGGTGTGTGATAGCTAAGGGCTGAGCATAATTAATTAGTAATGTCGGACAAGGGGGAACCTCCCCCAACACGCCGTAAACCACCTGATAGGCGTCCGGGAGTACTCGACAGGCCCCTCATGGAGCGAGACCTCTTCGCTCCTGAGAGATCCAGAGTGCTCCCACCTTACAGCCAACTCCCGAGGCGAATAGGCAGTATACCGGCGCCCGGCGCCGCGCTCGGCGCAGGTGAAGCTGTGTCTTCACCGAGCGCAGAACTGGCTCCATTACCACGCCGGAGCCTAGCCTCGCGGAGACGTACACCTCCTGAGATAGAACAAGACCAGCTGCAAGAGGAGAAAAGGCTGAGAGCCGGATCAGACTCACTATCTGATTCGGCATCGCCTTCTGCCTCTGCCACACCACCTGAGATACAAGCCCCACAACCTGTGGTAAGACATAACAGACCGCCTAACTCACCGTCTCCAACCACCTCTCCGGCCTGCACCGCTGACATGCAGGATTTCGGTGAGGAAGACCCGGAAGGAGAGAGAGAGTGGGACAATACGTCCTACGCCACTCTAGCCCCAATTCAAGACTCCCAACCTGTAAACCAGGAGCCCATACCTGGTCCATCTTCAGCGCCAGACTCTTATGCGCAAATTGCAGCAGCGCCGAGGTCAGCGCCACCATCACCTCCGCCACCATCTGTACAAAAACAACAACAACCAGTAAATAACCAGGCCAAATACCCTCCTATTATAGTGGAGTGCTTCCCCAACTGGGCGAAGCACTTCAAAATCATACATCAACTTTTGGGTCACGCCCCCAATGCTCGCCCGTTTGGGAAGGGAGTCCGTTTTCGGCCCCAGTCCGACGACGAGTATCGGAAGGTCCAGCGCTACCTCATCGATAAAAGCAAGGAGGATGCCACCTTCGTGTGGTATTGCTACGCCCCACAGGAGGAGCAACCCACGAAGGTGGGGTTAAGAGGGCTCCCTGCCGATACAGACCCTAAAGACATACAGGAGGCCCTCATAGAGAAGGGCTTTCCAGTTACATTTGTACGGTCAATTCCACCAAAAAGAGGCAGGCCTGGCTGCCTGTTTCACGTGAAAATGAGTCACCTAAGCCCCGAAGAGCTCAACAGATTATACCAAATTGATGAGCTCCTTTACATGCCGGGAGTAACAATCGAAGGCTGGACAGGCAGAATTGGCCCTGCGCAGTGTCACAGGTGTCAAGGGTTCGGACACGCATCCTACAACTGCTACCGACCCTTCAAATGTGTACGCTGTGCAGGTGACCACCTGGCCTCAGCATGCCCACAACCGCGGGATGCGCAACCTAAATGCGCAAACTGCGGGAAAGATCACTCGGCGAATGACAGGCGGTGCCCAGTGTTGCAGCGAATTGCAAGGAAGAGGGGGATTAATATGCAACCCCCTATCCCCGCGCAAACAACACGAGCACCGCAACGTCAACCACCCCCACTACAAAGCCAACCACCTGCACCGCATTGGCAACCTCCACCACCTCAAAAACCTCAGTACTACCCACCCCAACAGCAGCAATATTCACAGCAGCAACACCTGCAAAGGCAGGAACCGCAACCGCAACAGCGGCAGGTAACAATCACACCTGCACCAACCACATTTGTTACGACCGGGGCGACTTTAGCACCACCGGCGAATAACGCCACGGAGCGCACAGAGCGCCCAAAGAAAAAGAGAGGAAAGAAGAAGAAGAAGAAGAAGGCAACCACCCAACCAGCTCAAGTGGGTGGTACTTCGACTCCTCTTCCTCCACTCGTCACTACCACACAACAACAGCAATCACTGCCACAACCGCGGTATACATTCCCTCCATCCAATCAGAACGAGCATTCTGCACTCCAACCCCGAGATCAACGCCCACCCAAAAAGACAATAACTGTCGCTCCCCCATTACAGCCCCAGGCACCAACCACCATCGAGGAGGCCCTCGCTCAACTGGTGGGCGTGGTAATCAGGATCTTAGGAGAGGTCCTGACTGCCATGACCACCGGCACCAACCCCCTTTCGGCCATCCTAACGGCCTTAGCCCAGTTAACCTCCGTCAGCAGGCCATCCACTTAGGATGTGTTATTGGAACCCCGGCGGCATCTTAGGGAAGGTCGCCGACCTGAGAACCCTGGTCCAGCAGCACAATATCCAAATTGTGCTGCTGGGGGAGACCAAACTGCGCCCCTCTGCTCAATTAAAACTCCCCAACTTCTTTGTGTACCGACATGACGAGATCTCCTCAGAAGGTATCGCGTACAGAGGTACTGCGGTCCTTGTGAGGAGGGACGTCATGCACGAAGAAGTTGGCACCAATACACAGTTTATATCCACCAGAACCAAGGGTGTAAGGCTGAGGGTAGGCACCAGAGAAATTAGAATCTTTGCTGCCTACAGACCTCCCGGCACCTCACTTGCCCCCCAAGACATACGTACCATATTTGACTCCACGACACCTGCAATTATCGCCGGAGACCTCAACGCGAAACATCCCGCTTGGGGCTCCGCGCTGATCACACCACCCGGCAGGAAACTGTTCGACGACGCCGAGGAGTGGGGGTACGAGGTGCTGGGCCCTGATGAGCCCACCCATATCCCGACAAAGCCAGAACATAAGCCCGATGTTCTTGACATTGTGCTGTGTCATCTAGTGCCGTATACAACACGGTTAGAAGTGTTGTATGACATAGATACACAACACCTCCCCGTGCTGATTACTATCGACACCAGTGCGGATGCCATGGTGCCCAGAAGTCTCCGAATGAAGACAAATTGGACCCGCTTTCGTAGTGCGCTGGAGGACTTCCAACCTTGCGCCCCAATTACCACCAGTGAAGATGTGGAGACTGCGGCCCTACATCTTCACAACACTATAAAAGATAAACTCCAACTCCACTCTCACCCTGTCTCCACGGGGCGCGGGAAGGAGGGACTCCCACGCAATCTCCAAACGCTCCTGTCCGAGAAGCGGAAGATGAGGAGACTCTGGGCACGGACACGATGCCCACGGATAAAAACTAAACTAAACGCTATGACGGAAGAGCTGTCGGAAGCAATGAGAGCTTACAGGGGAGAAGCATGGGAGAGGCGAGTCGACGAAGCCTCGGAGACACCCGCCTCCCTGCATCTCCTCAACCGGCAGCTCACCAAGACACCA